CCCAAAGCTCAGTATATAGGGAGCTACAGCTCGCGGTATAATGAGGCTGCCGCAGCCGGGACGGATCCCGACCTATCTAGAGGCAGAGCCAGCTGTACCCACCCCGTCCATTCCGCTAGTCAGCGATGGAGGATCGGAGCGGGTAGGGGGGAATCCCTGCAGGGAGCCGTGAGTGACAGTCACGGCTCTCTGCAGGGACAGGATCGGGAAGTGAGCGAGCGACGGAATGTTTTCGCTCACTTCCCAATCTACTGAGCCGACCTGAGACAGTCTCATTGTCACACTCCGGCTCGAACTATGAGGATGAGTGAAAATCACCCCCCCCCCTCTCATTTGGAGGAAAAAGACGGACAACAAGGAGGGGGGGGGGTACCGGGAGTAAATATAAACTAATATCTTCTTACCTCCTCTGCAGCCAGTTCAAACAATGTCTCCTCTCTACCTCCTCCCGACTCACCTTTCACCCCTATATCACTTCCTCTTTATGCACCTACATCACTTCCTGTCTGTACCTTACATCACTTCCTGCCTATATCTTACATCACTTCCTGTGGGTGGGTTCCAAGTGAGATCGCCACCTTGTGTTGAATAAGAATAATGCGGTCTACGTTACGTTTCATCATCGTGCTCGCTGCCTTGTGGTCTATTCCTCTGTTACAGTATATATCTACCTGGGTATGTACCTCTGGAGACAGGTGCCATGGAATGGCCTCCTCCTGCGGTTCCCCACCCTCATAGGAACGCCGTCCTCCTCTACTTGTGAGCTTCTAATATTGGGGGGGTGTAAGCATGCTATTTATAGCAGTGAGTGTTCATAATTAAATTGATCTATAGTATGTATACGTCTCCTTTCCTATGTAGCGCTCACCACCGACGGAGCAACTGTATATTAACTTGGGCTCTCCGACCTGTTTTGCCAGCCACCGCCCCCTCTTTCTCAGCTCCGGCAACACCGACACTGCGGAACAGAACAGGCTCGAGTCGCGGGGTCTTTTTACCATTTATTGCACATTAGCAACTAGGAGAGAGGGTTGGGGGTTGCAGGATACCAGAGTAACAATATAGAGGACTCTGTCTTCTCCCTTAGCAACAGCTTATATGAAGTAGCACAGACAACGGCCAAGAATAGTCCAGGACTTGTAGTGCACCAACCGGCTTCTCTTCAGTATGGTACATGAGAGTAGGGTGAGAGATCTCTTACAGGGTTCCAGACGGTAGCTCTCACCGGCTCCTCTGCGACACTCTTCCATAAGCAGATTCCACCTCCAGCCCAGCTTCCATCAGGTTCTTTTCCAGTAGCATGTAAAGCCTCTGAGCCCCCTGCATCTGCCACATGCTGAGGCTTAGACCAGGCATCCTGTAGTATCTTAGGCCTCTGGGCCCCCAGCATCTTCCACATGCTGAGGCCTAGGCCAGGCATCCTGTAGTATCTTAGGTCTCTGGGCCCCCAGCATCTGCCACATGCTGAGGCTTAGACCAGGCATCCTGTAGTATCTTAGGTCTCTGGGCCCCCAGCATCTGCCACATGCTGATTAACCACCCAACAGATGTAAGAGCAGAGTAAAGTCCCCTGGACCTCCATAGAGGGACAACAACAAGTGAACCTGTCTCTACGGGAGGGAGCAGATAGAGGCCCTGTCCGGGGGGCAGCTGGGGGGCTCAATGTCTACACCTCCACGGCCGGTGCAGAACTCTTTACAGAAGGTTTCTTGGCTTAGTATACAGAGGGCCTATCCCTAGATGGCAGAGCATAGAAATATCCACAGAGGAAACTTTTTGGACTGTGTGGTTGACACTGTTGGTGGAAAACACACATCACTCTAACCCCCCCCCCCCGCCCACTC